ACAAAAGTGGTGGTAGACAGCAAAGACGTGCTTACATTTAAATACATACTACACACATACTATATGTATGTACATACTCTGAACATATATTCATATATATGTACACATATATAAATAACTATGCAGTAGAAATAGTTGGGACTAGACTCCCTTTTAGGTCGCACGACAACACCATCCTCATACTTCTTTCTTCGTATTTTCTACACGTATTATGAAACTGGTAGCAGCTACAGTTAATATGGTTTAACTTTTAATGTTAATGGCCAATCCAGCTGATAACAAGCACAACTCCTACCATTTGTAGCGTAAACACAACAGAAGCACGACAACACTGTTGTGGGATTACTACATCGCCTACTCTCGCCCACTCTTGATGTGTTGTTTTGTCAATGAATGAGTCGCTTTTTTCAGTGCACTGGCCATTAATCGGTTTTGAATAACGAACGATTTTACAATTCACTTTGTGCTACTCGCTTCCTTTCAGCAATACCGATTTAGTGGCATTTTTATTTTTTATCAGTTTAAATTGTGTACTTAATAAAACCAAAAGCACAAATACACGCACGTATAGTCCAAGCATATTCACACACACACTCACCACACATGCAGTTGAACGCTGAAGCGTTCCTGCATACCAAGTATATATATACATTTGTATAGACATATGCATAYATACATACATATAGATTTGATTGGGGACGGCATAAAACTAATAAATTTTCACACAATAATTATGATAGTTTTGACATTAATTAAAACTTACATTTTATTATTAAATATTGCTTAAACACATCCACATTCGTTTTAAGATGTTTGTCATTTGAATATCAAACTCCTTGTATATAGAATGATAATTTTTTCACAAACGCGCACAATTAACATACACTCACATAGCAGAACGCGTCGTACTTCTATCTGACTAGTGATGTGCCAATATTGATTGTTAGTCAACAAGTGTTGAATAACATATAGTGTTGATAAATATGCTATAAATTTAGTACACAACGGACATCAAAATTTGGAGTATTGGGTTTTCACTGCCAAAAGACTATTTAACTATAAAGATATTCTCAATATATGTTGAATGGACAGATTAAACATAAAAAGACGAAGGTGCCAAAATTAAACCAAATTACTATCGATAACTTAACGTGTGTCCTAAATTCACATGTATCGTTTTAATGCGTACACATCTCTAAGTGCCGGACAGCTGAGGCTGCTTCTAATTTGGAAAATATGTCTTCAACATTAATTAAATGTTTAAATGTAGCGAAGACCGTGGGCAGAGTGACGTTCAAAAACTTGTTAACTGCATCGCAAAACCCATTACCATCATTAAGGTTAGTGAAAAA